GTCGCATCAGGACGTGACAGTGGGGAGATACTACAGGGCGTGGATTTTCTCCCCTTTCCCAAACTTTCTGCGATGTGGCCGTTGTTTTTATTGGAGCAATTCAATAAATGGTTAAGTTCACGGTTTCCGTCGACATCTCCAAACTAGGATGATCTGCAAAGCCCTTGGAACCCACGTCCAAATTCTGTAGGGACCACTTTCCCTGAACCGAGCTAAAAGCAGATGTTGGCGCACAATTTGGAGATTGCTTATTGTTCCTTTATTTTAAGCATCTTCAATTTGTGTAAATAACACATCCTCTCAGAAACTTTTTCACTCCGGTTTTCTTTATCTCACATCAGGGCTCTGGCCTCTGAGTGGGGGTAGACTGAGAGTTTATCCCTCATCCCCTGAAGGAAATCAAATCATATAATCAAGATTAAACAAATATGTAAACCTAGCTGGTTACTTGGCTGCGTTTCATCCTAACATATAGTTGGTTTTGCAGGAAACGTCCCCTTGTAGTAACAAGGCAGTATTTCTCCCCACTCCGGCGTTCCTCGAAACCGCCAGACCCCTCTTAGAGAACATCTGCTGAGGATTCCCGAGCCGTTTTGCAAAGAAACTCTCTGATTGAGAGATACAGTTGGAAAACACAACAGTGATGGGGAGGGGAGATAAAAATAATCAAATAAGGGTGGCCGTGGATGTTGGCGCTCAGAAGGGCTTTTGATCTGTGGTCATATTTAATGTCTCCGGGAGGATTCGCCAGCTGGAGGGGCCTTGGCCTGTCGGGCACTGGCGGAAGCGTGGCCAGAAGTCGAGCGCTGTGTGCAGGGCCACGGTGTGCGTGGAGAACGCAGGCTGCTGCTGTCCCCAGCTGCCTCTGCTGATGGTTCAGACCTCAGTGGCGTTCCCCCCACACCCACCCCCCAATTTGGGGTTTGTCCTTCTGAACCAGCTCTGCAGCCGGCCCTTCCTTTATCCTTGTGGTTCCAGAGGTGGCCTGCAGCCTGACTCTGCGTCCGCCACCTCGCCTCCTTGGGGGCCCCTCCCTAACGGGCCTGGCCGTGGCCCTGCTTTGCTGGAAGCCCTACCGTAGCTCCCTCTTACCTCTGCCGTGCCATCTGAGCCTCTTGGGTTGGCATCCGGGACCTCCCCATCTGGTTCTTCTAACGTTTGCTGTACCCTCGCCCCTCACCCCTGCAAGACAGTGGCTGCCCGACTTCACACACCCTCTCCATGCCTGCCATACTATAGTACTTTACCTGCCCACAGACTCCACTTCCCCTTGCTCCTGCCCTCAGCATTCCCCTCTCCGCCCTCCAGACCTGGCTCAGTGGCATCACCACTACTCCAGCCCCAGGCTGAGTCTGGGGCTGCCCTTGCAGCCCCCCAGTGCTGTTGCCTGAGGTGGTCTTTGTCATGCCTGTTGTCATTGTGTATTTGGCTGCGTGTCGGACGTAGAGAGGCTCAGATCTCCATGAGGACAGGATGTGTGTGATCTGCAGAAAGGGTGAGTGAGTGAATGAATGAATGAGCAGTGAGGTGAACATTTTGTCTGCTGGCCTCCTGTGCCAGTCCAGTGTCTAACCCCTGGCCAGGGGTTTAGGGAGTCAAGGGGCAGCCTCTTGCCTCCCTCTCCTACATCAGGGGCCTGTGGCCCAGCCCTTCTATCCATCTGTGTTAGTTTCTAAAAGGCAGAGAGACTATGGTAAAATGGCTAAAAAGACAGATCTGGGGATCACACAAACCTGGTTTTAATCCTACCACTGTCCTTAACTAAACCAGCTGTGTGACCTTGGGCAAGTGACTCGACCTCTCTGAAACTCCATTTCTTCATCCATGATGGGATGGATAACAGTAGTCTGTACCTCATAGGGATATTGTGCGGATTAAGTGAGGAAATGAGTGGCAAACAACCAGCCCAGAGTAAGTGTCTACCAATCAGGACATTTTTGGTTGCAAGTATCAAAACCCCAGCACAACCTGGCTTAAAAGCAAAAGAGGGGCCAGGTGTGGTGGCTCACAGCTACAATCCTAGCATTCTGGGAGGCCAAGGCAGGAGGATTACTTAAGGTCAGGAGTTAGAGACCAGCCCTGAGCAAGAAAGAGACCCCCTCTCTACAGAAATAGAAAAAATTAGCCGGGCATGGTGGTACTCGCCTGTAGTCCCAGCTACTTGGGAGGCTGAGGCAGGAGGATCACTTGAGCCCAGGAGTTTGAGGTTGCAGTGAACTCTGATGACACCACTGCACTCTAGCCAGGATGACAGAATGAGACCCCGTCTCAAAAAACAACAACAACAACAAAAACATGCTCCTGGCTGAGAAGTCTGCAATCATCTGATTGGCCAGGCCTGGGTCACACTCCAATTTCTAGACTCGGAGGTCGGTCTACTGGCTGGGGAAAAGCAGGATCTCCCAAGGAAAACTGGGACATGAGAACCAGAAAAAAAGGATGGATGCTGAGTGGGCAGAAGCAGCAGGTGTCCATGTGACAGTGGTGGGAAGTATAGAAAGGTGAGGTCCTTCCTGATGGCCCAAGGCCCAGGGAGGTGATGCTTGGCTGGCCCCTCCAGGGCCTTACCCTTCTTGGGCAAAAGTGACCTCTGACATCCCGCCTCCCTGCATCAGAGGTGACCGGGCCAGAAGAGACCAAGAAAGGGGTTCCTGCCCTGACCCTGACTGACCTTGAGCTTGGACAGGCCCCCCTCCCTCTGTCCACCTGTTTCCCCATCTGTAAAATGGACTTGTTGGAGGAGATGGTCTCTGAGCCCTGCTCCAGCTCTAACTATAATACAGGCAGCAGCTGGTATTTCTCAAGTGCCTGGTGTGTGCCGGGTCTTTGCTGGGCACAGGGCAACCAAAGATGACATGAACAAGTGCCTGCCTCCGGGCCCCACCTGTGATAGCTTCCTGCCCTTCCTGACCACTGCCCTGCTTCCCCTTCACGTGTCTGTTATACAACCAAAGGGTCTTTTGAGATTTGTTTTATCTATTGATTATAGTTTAAACAGCCAAAGCAAGTATACCGAATGTTTTTTCTTTCTGTAAAAATGAATTAAAACCTCCAATCTCTACTATGTTTAAATCATATCCAGAATCTGACCCCTCTCACCACCTTTACTGGTACCCCCATCTCATCCTCCATCGTCTCTGCCCTGGAATAAGCCAGTAGCTTTGTTGGAGCCGCCAGCTCCCTTGCCCACCCCAGCAGTGCCCCCCACACACAGTGGCCTGAGCAGTCCTACCGCTTGGCTGTTGTAAACCTTCAATAAGGGCTCAGCGCATTCAGAGTAAAATGGTTGAAGAAAAAACAACTACTATAGGCTCACCCCCCCCAACCCCCAATCTTATTTCCTTCCACACCCCCACATGCTTATACCATCTGGCTGCACTGGCTTCCTTGTCATTCTCAGCCACACCAGCACAGTCCCACCTCGGGGCCTTTGCACTTGCTGTACCCCTGCCTGGAATGCTCCTCCCCCAAGCGCCCTCATGGTTCACTCCGTCACCTCCTTCAGATCTCTGCTCAAAAGTCACCCATCAGAGAGCCCCTCCCCAGAAATCCTAAGAAACCTCTCTCTGCCCCCCTTCCTTGGCTGCGTTATTCTCTGTAATGCGTTTTGTCTTCTGTGGCCCAGTGGCTTCTGTTGTGAGCAGGGCCTCCAGCTTCCCTGCACGATTTCCTGCCTTGGCGAGTGGGGCTTCCTTCTTGGGCAGGGGAGGGGAGCCGTGGCATGTCTGCCTCCTTGTTGCCTCTCCCTCTCCATTTTCTCCTGCGCTGGCTCCCATCAGCCTCATATTAATTGAACTTCCCACCTCCACCCACTGGTGTGCCCAGAGCACAGTGCACCCTGCAGCTGGGTGTGGGAGGGAGTGGTCCCTCATTCCCTGGGGTCACTATTTTTCTCACTGCGGGTCTCAGGTTGCCTGCGATTTATGAGAATTTGCCATGAAAATTGTTTTCAGCTACTGTTGTGAACTAGCAGCACAGACTCCTGCAGTAATCACCCACCTTGCCCCCTCCCAGGCTGCCAGAACCTCCCAAGAACACCTCGGGATGGGAGGAAGAAAGGCAGCGGGGAGATGACGACTCCCACTCGTTGCACCACCTGGGTTTGTGACCCGTGGCCAGATCCTCTGAAAGACCACCCAAGGATTCCCGAGGTCTTTCAGAGAAGAATTTCCTTAGAATTGAGCCCCCAAAAGTGTACATGCTAGAAAAGCCAACCTTGCTTATAAGAAATACCTTGGTTTTCTGTGGGTCACAGAATCCTGGCTTGGATTTGCTTTGGAACCTCAGTAATATCTTATTAGTGGCCTGTTACGCATATACTTTGTGCCAGGTATTAATTAATCTAGGGACTTCATCCACATAACCATTTCGCAGCTGTGCGAGTTAAGTAATGTCTCCATTTTACGGGCAAGAAAACAAGCTAGAGAAATGACAGACTCCATCCTGTATCACCCAGGCAAGAATTGCCAGAGAGCTGGGATTCAGGCTACCTTGGGGCTCCCAAGAGAGTGCCATTTCTATTGCCTCACTGCCTTGCTTTTGAACAAAACTTGCATAGAAAAAAACAGCCAAAGACCTTCACCTCCCCCCCCAAGAACCCACGGTCCCTGTTGCCTTTGGAGGTACTCTGCAGCCCAGAGGTGGCCTGGGTAGGCCCTTCTAGATTTGGAGGGGTTTGATGGAGATGGAGGAGTCATTTGACCCCTGCTGGCTCTTGAGACAATTTCATTGGTGTTGGCCAGTCTGACATTGAAACACTTCTAGTGCTTCATCACACACACACACACACACACACACACACACACACACACACACACACACACCCCGCCTTGGTTTGCCCATCTGTGAAATGGGTATATTGATTTTGCCGTGGCTTTGGTCTAACCTGGAACCTTCTCGAGTTTATCATTTGCCGGTCTAATTAAGAGAAAATTTGAAATGAAAATGACTTTATTAAATGACCAGTCGGGGCCTAACCGTCCTGCCTGTCTCTCCCGCAGACTCGAGCCCGCCGGCGCGCCTGCTGGCCACCCGGCCGTGCTGCGGCCCCGGCCCGGAGCGGCGCCCGGTCCTGGGCGAGGCGCCGCGCTTCCACACGCAGGCCAAGGGCAAGAACGTGCGGCTGGACGGCCACTCGCGCCGGGCCACGCGGCGCAACAGCTTCTGCAACGGCGTCACGTTCACCCAGCGGCCCATCCGGCTGTACGAGCAGGTGCGGCTGCGCCTGGTGGCCGTGCGCCCGGGCTGGAGCGGCGCGCTGCGCTTCGGCTTCACGGCGCACGACCCGTCGCTCATGAGCGCCCAGGACATCCCCAAGTACGCCTGCCCCGACCTGGTCACGCGGCCCGGCTACTGGGCCAAGGCGCTGCCCGAGAACCTGGCGCTGCGCGACACCGTGCTGGCCTACTGGGCGGACCGCCACGGCCGCGTCTTCTACAGCGTCAACGACGGCGAGCCGGTGCTCTTCCACTGCGGCGTGGCCGTGGGCGGCCCGCTCTGGGCGCTCATCGACGTCTACGGCATCACCGACGAGGTGCAGCTCCTCGGTAGGTCGCGGGGCCCTGCCCGGACCGGGCGGAGGTGCCCCGTGCGCAAGGATGGGTGGGCGCAACCACTGAACGGTGGACGCACTTGGCCAGGCGTGCGCTAAGCGCTTTACGCATCTTAGCTCATTTATGTATCACAACCACCGGCGGTCCCGATTTACAGAAGAGAACACTGAGGCATGGAAAGGTTAGATCGTTAGCATTACGGAGCCAGGACTGGAACCCACAGGGGTCGAACTGGGCCAGGTTCACTCACTCACTCATTCCTCTTAACCTCCCTGTTTATTTGCTCTGTTATTCATTAATTAACTCATTTGCACAGACATTTATTCATTTGCTCACTCCTTCACTCCATGTACTCACACTTCCACTTGCACACTGAGTCATTCATTTACTCAGCAGTCAAAGGTAAGCGCTGATCACACCGTGAGTACCTGCACTGCGCAGGCAGTGCGCAGATGTATCAAACCTCCCACGCTGGGTGCGGTGGCTCACGCCTGTGTTCCCAGCACTTTCGGAGGCCGAGGAGGGAGGATCATCGCTTGGGGCCAGGGGTTTGAGGCTGCAGTGAGCTATGCTTGCACTGCACTCCAGCTTGGGCAACAGAGCAAGATCCTTCTCAAAAAAAAAAACAACAACAGGCCAGGCACTGTGGGAAGCCGAGGCGGGAGGATCCCTTGAGCTCAGGAATTCAAGACAAGCCTGAGGGGGCCGGGCACGGTGGCTCACGCCTGTAATCCCAGCTCTCTGGGAGGCCGAGGCAGGCGGATTGTTTGAGCTCAGGAGTTCGAAACCAGCCTGAGCAAGAGTGAAACCCGTCTCTACTAAAAATAGAAAGAAATTAATCGGACAACTAAAAATACATGGAAAAAATTAGCCGGGCATGGTGGCACATGCCTGTAGTCCCAGCTACTTGGGAGGCTGAGGCAGGAGGATCGCTTAAGCCCAGGAGTTTGAGGTTGCTGTGAGCTAGGCTGACGCCACGGCACTCTAGCCTGGGCAACACCGTGAGACTCTGTCTCAAAAAAAAAAAAAAAAAGACAAGCCTGAGCAAGAGCGAGACCCCGTCTCTAACTAAAAAAAAAAAAAAAAAAAATAGAAAGAAAGTAGCTGGACAACTAAAATATATATATGGAAAAAAAAATTAGCCAGGCATGGTGGTACATGCCTGAAGTCCCAGCTACTTGGGAGGCTGAGGCAGGAGGATCGCTTGACCTCAGGAGTTCTAGACTAGCCTAAGCAAGAGTGAGACCCCGTCTCTACCAAAAAGAAAGGGGGGAAAAAAAAAACGAGCCAGGCATAGCAGTGCACACCTGTAGTCCCAGCTACCCAGGAGGCTGAGGCAGAAGGATCACTTAGAGCCCAGAAGTTGGAGGTTGCAGTGAGCTACAATGACGCCTCTGCTCTCTACCCAGGGCGACAGAGGGAGACTGTTTCAACAAAAACAAACAAGGCAACTGAACACCCCTCCTCACAACCCCCCCATCCCTTAAAAAAAGTTTAAAAAACAACAAAAACCGGCCCACCGGTAACGGGCTCAGGGTCCTGGGAGGCAGGTGAGTGGGCACCAGTCCTCGTAGAGGCGGCGGCCACCGACGCTGAAACCCTGATGTCCAGCACTCGTAAGCATAGAAGTCTGCTGCCCTCATGGTGAGACTTTTTTTTTACTTTTTTAAAAATTGAGGTAACATTCACATAACAGAAAAGTAACCATTTTAAAGTATACAAATGGGTGGTATACAGTTGACAGCCATCACCTTTATCTAGTTTTAAAACATTTCATCACCCCAAAAGGAAACCTCCTACCCATTAAGCAGCCATTCCCCATCCTCCCCTCCTCCCAGCCCCTGGCAACTGCTGATCTGCTGTCTGTTGGAGACCCCCGCCCTTGAACCCACAGATAGCACCTGAACCAGCCTCAATTTCTGGGGGAGTAAAGGGACAGCAGGTTTCTCAGGGTGTCTGGACACAGGTCTCAATGTAATTCCCCCGTGATGAAATGCATAGATCTAAAGATTGGTGGGTTTTGGCAGATTCAGGCACCTGTCCATAACCCCAGAAAGTTTCTGCCTTCTTCTTCTGAGTCAACTCCCTGCCTCCTAAGGGGCAGCCACTGTTCTGGTTTTCCACCATAGATTAGGTTAGTTTTGCCTGTTTTTGAACCTTATATAAATGGGATCATACAGTATCTATGCATTCGAGTCTGGCTTCTTTCGGCTTAATATTTTTTTGAGATTCATCCACGTCGTTGCTATGTGTATCAGTGGTTTATTCTGTTTATTGTCGAGTAGAGTCCATGATATGGATTACTGCAGTTTGTATATCTGAATGTTTGGGCTGTTTCTGGTTTTTCAGTCCTGCATCTTGTGGGAAAACCCTGGCCTGGACTCCTTGCTCTCCTGCTCTCCCCCAACCACCACGCCACCATTGGGCAAGGAGGGAGGAGTCATGCATTGGAGCTATGCCCCCACCCCCAGGAGTAGAAAGGCAGCACAACTTCTGTGTGGTCAAGGGCAGAGAGTTGGATCTCATGGACCTCTGCTATAGACGTGGCTTGCCACTTGCCAGGTGTGTGGCCTTGGCCAGGCAACTGAACCTCTCTGTTTCAGTTTTTTCATCTGTAAAATGGGTTCACGACAGCACCCACCTTATGGGATTATTGGCAGGGTTACGTGAGATGATATGTGAAAAGAATGCAGCACAAGGCCTGACACAGAGCAGACACTGAAGAAATAACAGCTGAGAAATAAGAATCTCTCCGTTTGCAAGTGGGCTGGAGCACATGTCCAAATACCAGGCTTAGACAGACCAGATTGTGAATAGCTGCCCACCCTCCAAGCTGGGGCTTTACTTGGGCATTTTAACTGTGTCCCCTTGTGCTCTTTTTCATGAAAGGTTTTGATATTTTTGACCTCCATGAAATGCAGATTTCTAAAACCTCCTGGGTCTCCTGTCACTCTTTGGGAGCTCTTAATTCCCATGGAGCAGGGAAGCAATCCAGCCTCATTCACCTGCTCATTCACAGCCCTCGTTTCTGAGTAACAGCCAAGAAATCACAGCCACTCCATAATCAGCACAAGTAGGTTAGGATTCTTTAAAAATACAAATTGGAAGCAGCCTTTGATGACTTAATGAGACTGAAAAAAATCTGTGAGGAGGCACGGACTCTTCCCCCACATTTACTTATTCAGCAAACCCTTATTGAACCCCTAGAATGTTCTAGGGAGGGAGAGGCAGAGTCCGCTGGAACATCAGTACAGCAGGCAGACGTGAGCCTCAGTTTCCTTATGTGCAGGTTATCCCTGAGATTTGATAATTACTGGGAAGTACCGGGCACAGGTGCTACAGCAAAAATGTTCACAAAAATATAAAAAAGGGGGAAATGAAATTAGAAAGAATTCCATGTTTGAGTAACGAGATGGGTGAATTTCACTACCTTCTTTATATCTGTGAGCTACCATTTTAAAAAATATATATGGAAAGAGCTTGTATTGCTTTTACAGTCAGCAAGAGCAATAAAGTTACTTTCCTTTCCGAAGGTTATGTGAGATAAGGGAGGAGAAATTCCTGACAAACGTTTATTGAGCCTCATTCAATTTCTCAAACCTTTGTTTCCTTCCCAGGGGAAAAGCAAGTTGACACTGATTACATCTGGGTAAAGGGATTATGGGTGATTTTTATTTCTTTTTCTCCTTCCCAAGTTAACAACAATTTATAAGTCAGGAAAGAAAAATTATAGTAAAAATAAGAAACTAAGCGGTCATGACTTTATAGGGTTTTAAGTAGAGGAAATAAGTACCCTGCTATTGTCAGCATAGGATGAGGCAATTTGAGAATCTCAGAATTCCTACCAGAAATCTCCCGATTCCTAGGAGAACTTGGCTTCTCAAGGGTGGTGTCCAAGGTACCAAACGGATACATAAAAGGCAGCCAGTGTCCACGTTTTTCCTTTCCTTTGCAAGGAGTGAGGAGGTGACATGGTTCCTTTAGAGCTTCTCAGCTGTGAAATTCCAAAATTGAAAATCCCTGGGACTCCTGCATCCCTCCCTCACTGCAATCAGCCCCACCGAGTAAAGCCTGAAAACCAACATCTGGGTAGCATCTGGGTAGGGTCATCAGATCTAGCAAGTAAAATACAGGACACCTAGTTAAATTTGAATTTCAGATAAACAATGAAATTTTTTCAGTACAAGTATTTCCCATGCAATATTTGGGACATACTTATGTGGAAAAAATTTGTTTATCTGAAATTAAAATGTAACTGGGCATCCTTTCTTTTATCCGGAAACCCTGGCCTGGGAAGCATCCTCCCCATCTTGTGGGACAGGGGTGCACTTTATTTGCCCTAGAACTTGAGCCAAAGTTAAGTCTCAGAAATAAAAAGAGATTCATAGGACTCCCATATTTTTTTTTTTTTTTTTTTGCCTGATGGAATCATGTGTCCAGCCTGCATCTTCCTGCACGGGAGCCCAGCTGCCCCATAGAACACTGCAGGGCCAGGGGTGCCTGTTTGAGATAAACAATCCAGGGTTGTGAGGAGGAAAGTGACTAGCCTAGAACCACCAAGACTGAGTGGCAGAGCCAGGACTGGGAGCCAGCGTGTCTGTATTCAGTTCAGTGGTTCTCAGCCTTGGCTGTATGTTGCGCTCACCTGGAGAGCTCTGAAACCCACTTCCCAGGCTGTCCCCAGACCAATAAAATCAGAACCTCGGGGGCTGGGCACAGTGGCTCACGCCCGTAATTTCAGCACTTTGGGAGGCCAAGGCAAGAGGATCACTTGAGGCCAGGAATTCAAGACCAGCCTAGACAACATAGCAAGATCCTGTTTTTACAAAAAAATATAAACCTTAGCTGAGCATGGTGGCGCGTGCCTGTAGTCCCAGCTACTTGGGAGACTGAGGCAGGAGGATCACTTGAGTCCAGAGTTTGCAGCTGCAGTAAGCTGTGATAGTGCCACTGCACTCCATCCTCCCTGCCTGAGGAGGGGGGGACAGAGGGAG